GCACCTATTACTCTGGCTCGCCGTCTGCTCTGGTGCCGGCCTTACAAGCGCTGGTGTTCTCTTGGCGTGCATTGTTTTCCCGTTTGCAGTCATTTCGCTCGGTTCTCACGCGTGCTCTTCAATTTTTCACTGTCTTTACAAGATGATCTTTCGCCATGTCCACAGGACGCTGATTGTGGTTCTGTCACTAACAATGGGAAGGGCAAAGTTTATGACTCGGCACGCCTTCTGTTCAAGAAAGCGTCCGATGAAGCTTGTACGCATGGTGAGACACGTTTACGCGCTAACGCATGGGCGACAGTCGCATCGATGCCGAGCAAGTTCTCCTTCATCTCTTCAAGACGACTACTGCATTGATGCTTATCGCGAGATCGAGAATCGGCGCAACGCTCCGTCATCACAAGTGAGGCTGGTGTAGGCGTTTCGTGCTCAAGTGTGCCTGGTGCGTTGCGCTCGCTAACTGCAGTGATTACGACCCCGAACAGTGCGACCGCGTCGTCGACTGTGCATTTGCCAACACGTTTTTGGACTTGCGAGAAGTTAGCCGCGGAGGATAACGAACCTGTTGCTGTGCAACCAAACCTCAGCGCTATGTCGGCAACTGATGGTGCTATGCCGGCAATTAACGGGCAGCGAAGAAAGGTCCTTTCCATGTAAAAAAGGCTCAAGAACAGTTGCAACACAAGCAGGAAAAGGGGAAAAGGAAAAAAAAAAAACATTTCTAGCTACTTTGCAGGGTCATTTTAGACCAAAATATGTGTTAGAAACTTTTAAAGTCTGTTTTCTCAGAATGACTTTTTTGGTCGGTGAGGCTGTTTAGTCTGGTGATATCTCTTCAACCGCTCATCTGATTTCTATCAGATTTGTTTTATTCTGTACCATAATAAATAGCTCACACACTGACAGAGCCGTTTTTTAAATTTATTGCATATGTAATTTGTGATAATTAATTAATATCTCATTGATAAATGCTTGATGGCAAAACCAAATTAATGCTCTGCTAAAAATTTTCAGCAAGAAAATTAAAAAAAAGGGCTCTGTCCTAGTGTAAAGCACCCACCCAGAAATCATCACATTGAATTTCACGGTGCTAGCACATTTATTAAATTCACCAGAGCCTGACTAAAAAACCTATGTGAACTATCCTGATAAATGGCTGTAACTTTGGAACCAGTGAACCTAAATGCTTGAAATTTTGTGGTTATTTAAATAGCTTTATCATTCGCCTACCCTGAAAATTTATTAGGATATCTGAACAACAAAAAAAGTTGCCCTTCCATGGTAGCCTCTCCTCTTAAGTCTCTCAGGGGAGCATGTTTGCTTGCAGTATATTCCACGTTGAGTGAGACCACCAATCAATTTCGCGTCGGTGCATTTAAATATTACTAATGACAGTTATAGTTTACCGTTAGTGTGATATCGGAGGTTAACAAGAGTTTTATTTATTGAGAGATAAATAGGGGGACAGAATTCAAGTACGAAATTAAGACAAATACGGTACAGAAATTAAGTATGAAACCAATCGTACTAGAGGCTGCTGTTACATTTGAGCAGCAATTCTGTTTTAGAGTTACATTTATTGGGAGTCTAGGTGAGGTAATAACTGTAGAACAATACATCAGCAGCAGGCTTATGCCAAATAACTAACACCAACTAGACTGTGTTTCGGGATTCAGCAGATGCTAACAGGATACTTCACTGCAATGCATAGCACATTTGAGGTAGCCGGAGATTGTAGTTGAATTCTGGCTGTAATGGCAGCATTCCAATGTATGCATGGTAGGGGTTCTGATTGATTGATTGACTTGTGGGGTTTAACGTCCCAAAACCACTATATGATTATGAGAGACGCCGTAGTGGAGGGCTCTGGAAATTTAGACCACCTGGGGTTCTTTAACATGCACCCAAATCTGAGTACACGGGCCTACAACATGGTAGGGGTTCTCACACTGGGTTTCACAAGCAGTGAGAAATAGTGGCCTAGAAGGTCTGAGAGAGTGGAAAAAGCACCGAGCAGTTACATGCGGGGAGCATGAAATATTTGTGATGAACTCTCACTAGAGATGCCGCTCAGCCAAACCACGAATTTTTTGCACCTGGGAAGCTTGGGGCGTCTACTGCTATAAGCTTGATATCGTTACGTGACTGACTAGTCACTTGCACGGTAGACTATTTACAAGATATATTTACAACAGCGGTCGCACAGCTGCCTGGTTCAGCTCAGAGAGCATTTGGCTCAGCTCAGTTTGGCTCCTATTATCTATCCATTAATGCAATAGCAGCAGTTGTGCATGACTGGATGCCACTGCAAATCGATAAAGCAGTGACTCACTGCAGAAATTACGAGCTTCTCTGCATTAAAAACAGGAATGTCGTCTTTTCTTTAATGCTTGCAGATTTGCACTGCCTCGATAGTCTGAATTCATGCGTGCGAGCACATAATTTTGTGTGTACTTCACTACAGAGGTACTGTGATTGTATGAGGTGCATCATGGTCAATGTGTAGAATGTGACCTTACTTCTGGAGAAATAAGAGTGAGATGATGAGGACAACTAGTGAATAGTAGCAGACATATGTATAAAAAACAGCTAGCTTGCACTCATTCCATACCCTTAACTTGTATTCAGGCTTATAACGTTTGCACCCTCCTATTTTCTTCAAAACATGAAAATAAATAACGTCAAATAATTTATGGATGCTCCCCCATCTGTACACAGGTTGAACCCAGTTTTCTACTTGAGGTTTAGATTCAATGCCTAGAACAGTTGTAGGCAACACAGTCCTAGATTGTGCGAACCAACATGATCTTTTTTTGTGAGCTAACTGAAAATTAGCAAAAGGGAGCACAGTGGCAACATGTTTGGGTTCTGCTCTCAAAAAGTTGGGCCACTATGACACAAAATTTTTCAAGGCAGCTAGGCTGGCTTGAAGAGGTGGAATTTCCTACGGCGACAATTATTTTCATTTGTGAGGGGGGCTTTCAACGAAACACAAAAGAGGCAGTGCCTCTCAGAATAACACATCTCCAGCTAGTTGGTTGATCACGCCGAGGCAAAAACAGTGCACAATTGGAGCGGATGAACCAAAAAAGCAGTACCCGTGTCCTATGTTTCCTCGGCCCATCTTCGTCAAGTGTGCACTGTTTTCGCCTCGGCATCTCTCAGAAATAGACACAAAGACAAATAAAAGTTTGCAGTTATTCCTTACATACACCGGATAGCCCATGGTCTCAAGGAGATTGCTTACAAATACAATGCACAGGCTGTACTTTATATGAGCAATCAGTAAAGCAGGTTATGCAACTAAATGAATAAACTTGGAAGGGCATCAATCACCTCAGTGGCTCATAGTAAAGAGTAGCTGCATGATTACACCAAGCGCATATACTAACCCCGCATGCAGACCATCTGCCACGATGGATTAGTGGCAACAATAGTCAGCTGCTGACCCGAAGGTCGCAGGTGTGATCCTGGTCGCAGCAGTCGCATTTCAATGAAGGGGAAATGGTTGAGACCCAGGTACTGTGCGATGCCAGTGCATGTTAAAGAACACGAGATGGTCGAATTTCTTGAAGCCCTCCCCTATGGCGCCTCGCATAATCATATCGTGGTTTTGGAAGGTAAAATCCCACATATTATCATTACTGTTATTTGCATTCAACCTGCTGCGAGAGTGAGAGCTAAGCAGACATTGCATAAATAAGTTTGAGGTCATAGGTTCAGTTGCCGTATATGGCAGCTGCATTTTAATGGAAGCGAAATTCAGCAACATTCATGTACTTTGATTTAGTTGCATGTTAAAGAAATCCAAGTGCTCAAAATTAATCCAGTCTCACAATAGGGCATGGCTCATAATGATATTATCGTTCTGGCATGTAAAATTCCAGAAATGATCATGGCCTTGTACGCACTAGTGTTGCAGACGTTACAAAGCTGCCGCTTTGTAAAAGAGCTCTAAGAAAAACCAAAGCAACATTAAAATTATAAATGGTTTCACAAGATCAGGCGTGGTCATCATTAGAGACAAATCTCTGTGTATGCATGACCACAGTGAGCATTGTACACTATTATGCTGACCAAGCAAGCAGTAAAAACAAAGTGACATTAAAATTAGCGCACACTGTGTGTGATCTGGCATCTATATATATTACCCAAAATGAAACTTTACACTGCTGTAAACAAGCATGATTACAGTGGGCATTAAAAATTTCCTTAAACTTAATATTATGCTGACAAAGTGAGGTGTAAAAAAATTCAAACTAGCACTAAAGTTGTGATCAGAAATTGTTATCCCAAAGCAAACCTTGGTGAAAGTGAAAATCTCATGGATTTAAACACTGCACATTATAATGCTGCCAGTGACTTAATAGGGCATATGTGTATTGAGCCCATAATAAATTTAAAGCCACATGGCAAACTTGGTCTCCAAGCTATCAGATTCCGAGAGAGACAAATGCACAGGAAAGCATGGTTGTTTGCTGACAGCTCTAAGCAGACAACACTGTCACAACGAAGATTCATTTTAACAGTCACGTCATTGCAGAACTCGTGCAGTCACCTCAATATTCACACAGTAGAAATATGGCCGTTCATCACTGACACGCAGCGTTTGCACAAACAGCATTGTCTTAGACGACCTGCTCGATCCCACAAAGGTATTTGATTAACCACTCTCCTCTGGCGAGATTCACACCATGAAATATTTTTCAACCTCTGATATCTTCTTAAATCTACAGTGCAACCAATTTATGAGGCCACACATGCAGAAATGAGTGAACAATGCATGCAAGGTGCATGAAGATGCTGAGAGAGCATAGTGAAGGGTGAAAGCGAAGACATGAACGACCAGTTTTTGCGTGAGAGGCGGCAAAACCCATGTGCTGCAGTGCAGCAAGGCTCAAGATGGGAAGTCGATTCAGCTTATGCCTTGAATCACAAGTACAGGGAGCTCAGGTATCTTTTTATAAACATATGAAGGGTCTACCTGTTCTTGCCCTTACCGTTCTGTATACATCAGCATAAAGGCCGTGGTCATTCAGAGACATGCCCTTGCGACGTGCCAGAAGACGCATAGAACGATTGAAATGGGCAGAGCCAGTGAAGGCAAGCAGAGAACAGGCAAATTCCTCTTGGGGCACCACAAAGATGTCCAACCGTCGGTGCTAGGGGAAAAAAAAAAGACATAAGTTGGCAGGGCTGTCACGACTCAATCACATGACCAATGAATAAACGTGTAACCATGCAAGGCACTGGACAAGAAAAGGAAACAAACAAAGCACTTTCGCCAGTTGGATGAACCAACCTATCAACTTCACTTATGGTGGGGCAAGAGTACCCCTCCCCCTTGTGTACCACATCATCTTATGCGGCTCCAATCACTAAATGCACTATGATCTGGACGTGTATAGAGCCTGAATGTGACATGTATAATGACCATGCAAATGAATAAGTGATGCATAGATAAACTTTTAAATATAATTTACAAAAGCAACTTCACTGACTAAGGGGGGGAGTTAGCCCAGACAGTGAAGCCCCCCTCCCAGCTCTGCAATCGCAATCACAAGGAAGAAGGTATGACGAAAACAAAAACCCGTGTTTTGTTTCCAATTCCCAATTTATGTGAACAGGCTTACTGCTTCTTTAATCTAAATTGAAACTGCATATTAAAGAGAGGCCTTAATTTCTTTATCAAAAAATTATTGAACGACCTTTCTATCTGTGCCTATTGCCTCGAAAATTGATCTCAGCAAAGATTTTACAAAACCGTCCTAGATGATTTAGAAGAATGGACTGTTGGGCGAGTTGGTATTCCATTTTCAAGAAAAAAGGTGCGAAAAGCGTGGACGAAGAGAGTAAGGAACAGCAAAAGCACATACTAACAATTGAAACTTTTATTGAAAGTACAAAGATTATAAAGAAAGAATAAATACAAAAACCACACGTGTGCTCGAAAACCAAAAACCTCCTACAGTTGCGCATCAAGATAGCCAATCTCTGATGGGTGCAATGCCACAGAGGGCTTAGTGACACAGCTATCTCCGGCTTTTAAAATAAAATAAACTTCAACAAGCTCACAAGTTGTATGTTCTTTGTGCCCAATTACTCTGGTTTCTCGGAAATCTGGGCTGCAATTACACTCATGACAATGCAATGACAGATTAGTTGAAGGTTGAAGGTGCTTATGCTCTTCCTTTGTCCATGTTTTTTACGCATTTTCCTTGAAAATGTCCTACATGAGCAGAAGTACGGGGGTTCAATGAACACTTGAAGCATTTTTTTCTCTCACCTTTCATTACGTTGAGTATGTTGAAAACTAAGAAGACAGAGGGACAGCTATGTCAATGTATATAATGATAACTGATGAAACAGCTCTGATCAACTAGCGCACCAGAACATATTAAGCATGTTATGACCTTAAGATCTTTCTCTTCTTTTTTTGAATGTATCTGCTTAGCTACTGTGTAATTCTAGCACACTAAAGAGTGCCGTACTGGTTTGTGGTGACACTCCATGGCTGCTGCAGTAACTATGGAGCACAAGAATGCTCAAATCAGACAATGGCCATGTCTGTCCCTACTTTGACACTGTCAAGCCTGTTGATAATGTAATCTGCTGAGAAAAAAAAAAAAGGCAGTTTCTAGCTGTCTTTGAAAAGTAACTGTGAATTACATGTTATGTGCAGTGATACATTATTTGGCTGACATATAGACAGGAGTCTCGACTACCGATAAGCAGCGTCTTCTAATCATGTTTAAAAAGTGTTGCAGGGCCTCTTTAAAGGGACACTAAAGTGAAAACAATTTATGTCAGAGTGAAACCTTAACATATGGCGTCTAAAACGACAATATTAACAACAGTGCCCTACTTACCAAGAAATTAAATGAAATACACGAGAACCTATGTGCTACGATGGGAGATTCACAAAAAGATCCCATTGCGTGAGAGGTACCGCTTACAATAAATCACTAGTAATCAAATTAGCTGCACCAAATGAACAACCTTCTGTGCATCGAGAGACGTAATAAAATGCTGCTAGTTCTTGTCTGTTTGACTCATGGAAAAAAGAACCGTGAGACGTTACTATGGGGAATGGCGTCAGTGGTTCAAAAGTTGATGCCTGGTTAAATCTGACAGGTCGCGCCATCTAGCGGGGTCCAGTTGAACCAATCACCCCTGTCATCTCGCAGGCCATGGCAGGAAATTGTTCAATGTCCGTTGTTGCTGCTGTGGCTACCTGCTGCTTTCGTTCTGCTGCTACTAGTGTCGGCGCCCATGCAGTAAAGCCGGGCAACGTTGGGCACAGCAACAGTGACGTGACACATTCTGCTTGAGGCAAGTAATTTGAAGTGCGCTAACTTGATGCGGACAACTAAAATGTGATTTTATTTCAAAATAAGCACTTCCTTGGCAAAAAAGTAACACTACGAGGTTTCTGGACTGCTATTTCAACAATCAGCGTCGACTTAATATAGCTGCCTTTAGTGTGAAAACTGCACAGCAATGCACTAAAATGAAAGCTGTATCTCTACGTGCCTATTCTGAGCAACCTGTCTTGTGAACCTGCAGGATTAATTTTTAATGGCTGGCCCACTCATGTTTTTAACACACCAATTATCCTCATGGCTTTATTCTAGTGAGCTGTCGACACTAGTAAACTTTTATCAGCATCATAACGAAAGCAATGATACTGTAGACCACCCATTGTGACGTTGCAAAACTAGCTGTAGTGTTTCCTACAAAAGGAGTGAGGTAAGAAGCGATAAAAGCCACACAAACATCTCACATCCCTGTCTTTACAAGGGACTTCGCCTACAAGGCCCAAGCAGTGCTTATTCTATCAATTCACATTCAACAGCAAAGATAACAAATTCCTACTGTTTAGGCCATACCTTTTCATGTCTTGCTTTTGTTGTCGTTGCATGTGATGCCATCACATGTCAACTTGTTGATTTTGAAATGAACAGATGGAAGTAACATATAGTGTTGTCAAAATCTGTTTCATCTCTTTTCTGTCCCTCAATGAAAGCTATGAATGTGCCCCTCACATTAACAGATACTTACTTGCATCTACTCAAACTCACGACACTCACTCGCATTCACCAAAGTACCTCTTGTACTCATTTGTGTTCACACTACGTACTGCCAATGCATTCACTTGCATTCACACTATGAACACTAATTACTAATCTACTCTCACTAAAAAGTAGTCACGGTTCATAATCGCAGTCAACTCATTTTTTCGACAACTTTTATCGAAATGCATCATCACCCTGCACTGATCTCTATACTTTATACTGATATGTACTCATTGACATCCAAAACTACAACCACTGACTGAGTGACCACATTGGAATTCTACTTAACAGCACTGAGCAGCACCAACGCTCATATTTCCCAGCACCTGAGTGATGTCATGGGCAAACTGATGAGGGTAATTCAATGAAATGTCATCACTCACCTTTCATTTTTGCATCATCCTTTGGCTCAACAAGCCTCCTCTAGGATTACGAATGGCGTACTTGCTGTTGCAAAAATATCCCTTCATAACACAGCCAAATCTTTTCGTGTAATGAGCCAAAGTTTGAAATTGTTTTGAAGGAAGTACAGTACTCAAACTGTACAATAAAGGCAAAGCAATGTGTTTGTTTACTCCTGGTACTCATTTACTAAGCAACAAACTTGTTCTAACTTGCAACTACTGCCACTGCTACTGTCTTTCACTCATCTGCACTCACTATAGAGTTAATTCAGAATCTAGATAAAAAAATTGGGCAGCACAAGTGCCAACCACAAAGGTGCCACCAGGTTAAGCTTGCCATTATTTCCAGTGTAATTATTTCCAGAAATGATCACACTGATGCCAGCGATACTCGTAATAGAATACAAATACAAGCATTTCCACATGCCACATACATCGTGGCATTTCCACAGAAATTGTGTCACTTTCAGGTGCTGTATCTATTCTCAATATTGTCAGGCCCCGATAACATTCCCAGTACCTTCTGCATTGATATGCATAGATGATTGCCAATTTCCTTGGGATCATTTTCCGCGCCTCCCTCTCTACTTCTTGTGTCCTGAACAATTGGAAGACCGCATGAATTGTTCCGATATTGAAGCAAGAAGATACATTGTCAATTTCAAGTTATCGCCCTAATTTCCAATATCCATCACTTGTTCCTGCTGTGATGCCATCACATGTTGATTTGTTGATTTTGAAATGAACAGATGGAAGTAACACATAGTGTTGTCATGCAACGACATGCTTCTTGAGCATGTTGTAGCTAACTACATCACTGATTTTCTTAACGACAACAATACATTAACACCATTTCAACATGGACTCAGGAAGAGTTTGTTCACTGACTCTCAATGGGTAACTGTCATACATATCTTTGCATCTATTCTTGATAAATCAGCCTCTGTGACTATTGTAAATTGGGTCCTTGCATACTTGTCAAATTGAACACAGTTTCTTGATATAAATGATCACTGTTCATCAACAGGTTACATTAGGTGTTCCTCAGAAAAGTGTTTCGGGACTCCTATTCTTTCGTTAATGTAAATAAATGATAATGTTAAAGTTGTCTCTGAATATATTAGAATGAGGCTAATCGCTGATGATTGTGTCTTGTTATCACCATGAATGATCAGCAACATTTAAACACCTGTCTTAGTAAATGTTTTTCAATGGTGTAACCAATGGGACATGAAACTGAATTCAGATAAAACGGTCTACACAAACATGACAAGAAGAAAAAATTATTCCTTTTTTTTTCATATGCTATTCAAACTCACATTTTCAAAGAGGTAAGTAAGTAAGTGAATATAAGTACCTTGTCAGAGCAGCAACAAAGAACTTAAAGTGGAATAAGCATGTATCTAACATTTGCGCATCCACCTTCTGTAAATTATGCTTTCTCAAGTATACACACTTTGCCTTGCTATGCCATCGGTGAAGTTGTTAGCCTATAATACCATTATTAGACCTACTCTTGAGTATGCATGCATTATTTGCCCCCCCCCCCCCCCCAAAAAAAAACATCCATGCCATAGAACTGATTCAATGTAAATGCATTAGGTTTATCTTCTTTAAGTACTACATGACAGGCTCCCCAACAGCTATCATACAAAAAAATAACATACAAGAACTTCAGCTTTG